AACTTTGTAACCCAAACAAGTTGGAAAACAGGTTTGAAAACAGGTTTTTAAAAAAAATGTTAAGGTGAAAAGCCATTGTCTACCAAGCTCTCCAATTACCAAGGAACCGTGACCATAAAGAACAGCTGTGTGCAAGAAAATAATGTAAACTTTATTCTTACTTTTGTCGGTTTTTTGGTTATTGTTAAGCCCCTAATTGTAAAAATGGGATATAAATGTATCATGCTAAGTGCAATGAAGGAGAATAACTTAGAATTAAAATCATCATATTACTTGAAAAAAAAAAAAAATCCTTGCCTCCAAGGAACAGCTTGTTTTCATCCTCTCCAAGACAGATTTATTTATTTTCCTAGTGGGTACATAGCTTGGAAGGAGGATTGACATCACTTCCATAATAGTTTGCCTCCAGAAACCCTATGAACCTGGAGAGAGGATGAAAGGCACCCAAGCGTCGAGGACTCTCCTTCATAGGGTCAGTAGGAGTCGCCTGCGACTCGACAGCACTTAACAACAACAACAACAAGTGGGTACATGGTATATTCAATACTTTTCTTCAGCACCACAATTTAAAAGCATAAATTCTTCTGTCATATTTAGTCATTATCCAGCTCTCTAATGCCTAGCAAGTAACTATGAAGATCATGGCCTGGATCAGGTGCATCTTAATTTCTAGACTGACATTATTGCTTTTTAGCACTTTGGAGAAGTCCCTGACAGCAGACTTCCCCAATGCAATTCGTCTTTTGATTTCTTGACTGCTGGTATCAAAAGTAATGATTGTGGAGCCATGCAAACTTAATCTCTTCTCCATCTAGTAATTGGCCCAGTGGTGAAAATCTTTGTCTTCTTGATTTTGAGCCTCAATCCATATTGAGGACTACAGTCCTTGACCTTCTGCAGCAAACGCTTTAGATCCTCCTTGGTTTCAGCAAGCAAGGTTGTATTACTTGCATAAGGCAGATTGTTTATGAGTCTTCTTCCAATCCTAATACCTCATTTCACCTCATAAAGTCCAGCCTACTGAATTACCTCTTCTGCCTGAATGATCTATTCTGCAAACAGATTGAAAATGTATGGAGACAGAATGCATACTCGACACACTTCCTTCTTGATTTTGAGCCATGCAGTGTTTCCTTGCTCTGTTCTAATAACTGCATCCTGGTCCAAGTATAGGTTTCATATGAGCAAAATCAAGGATAGACTCACACAATTTCCCTGACTATATTTTAGTACTGAATATCCCATAGATTACAAAAATAAAAACAAAAAAAACCCACAAAATAAACCAACAAACAAAAAACCCAAATAGATATATCTTGAAAAAAGTGCATTCAGAGTGGCCCTTGAAGGCAAAGATGGTGAAATTAAATCTCTCATACTTTGGGCATGTTGCATCATGTTTAGATTATATTATGTTTAGAAAGGGGCAGGGTCAGTGAGAAAGAGGACTGTCAATGAAATGGATTGACACAGTGACTGCAGCAATGGGCACAAGTGTGCCAAAGATGATGAAGATGGCACAGGATAGGACAGGATTCAGTTCTGTTGTTCACAGGGTCACTATGAGTCACACTCAACTGGACAACAAACTACAATATCTCCAGTTTCAGGCACTCTGGTGGCTCATTTGGTAGGGAGTTGCTTCTAATCCAAAGATAGTTCTTCTCTGAAAGTTTGGATCCACTAGCAGCTCCTGTGGAGAAAAACAGACTGTCTACTCTTAAATGGTTTATAACCTTGGAAACGAGCAAGAGGGTCATTTATGAGTCCGTTCTCACCCAATAGCAAATGACTTTGAGTTTTTTAGTTTCATTCCAACTTGAGAAAGATGGAGGCTTTTTGTTTTCACACCCTAACATCTTGGAGAACCATTCCGACTTCTTTCCTGAGATGAGGAAGCTTGGTTTGACTTCTAAGATTGACATAGGAGTTCTCACTGGACTCTCGACACTTTCTTAAAGCTTACAGTTTCCTGAGTAGATTCCTAGAATACCGTTATTGTCTCTTATCCATCCTTCCCACTTGGTGCATATTTGATCTTAGCTCATGGGGAGGGTAATCCTTCCTCACACTGCTCTTTTGGGTCTTATTTCTGCCATTGCTATTATTATTATTGTTGTTGTTGTTGTTAGGTAACATTGAGTTGAGAACTACTCATATCAACCTTACAAACAACAGATCTGAACCTTAACATATCCTGTGTCAACCTCAAACTTCCTGACACATTAGAGCCCACAGTGGCAGGCATTGTGTTAATTCACTTGGTCGAGGGTCTTCCTTTCCTTCACTGACCCTACACCTTTGCGAACATCATCTCTTTCTCCAATCCATAGTCCCTTCTAGCAACATACCCACAGTATGTGAGGTGAAGGCTCATCATCTTTGCCTCCAAAGAGCACCCTGGATGCACCCTCTCCAAGGCAAATTTGTTTGTTCTTTTGACAGTCCATTGGATGTTCAACACTCTTCTCCAACACCACAGCTCAAAGGCATCAATTCTTTTTCTATCATCCCTATTCCTTGTCCAGCTCTTAGATATGCATAGCAAGTGGTCTGATGACCATGGTTTGAATCAGATGCAACTTTCATCCTCAAACTGACATCATTACTTCTCAAGAATTTAGAGAGGTCTCTAACTGAAGACTTTCCTAACTAACATGGGACTTCCTTCCAATCTGGTTATCAGCATTCCTCAGTCATCACCATGGTACAGAGAGGATTTCATGACAAATAGGAATCTATGTCCATGCAGGTTATGAACTCAGCTGTAGCCCTTAAGACCTCTGAATCTGTCCTTTCCCAGAGCTCTCCCAGTTATTTCTAGAGACTTTCAGAATGTTTTTATACACACTTAGAAATCATCATTCGAGAGAGATACATTTTATCCCAGGATCCCACCTGTACATTTGTTCTCTGTGGAATTTCTGAGGGTGTAAATCCCAACATTAGGAGATTCCCCATTTTCTCCCTAAATGCCAATAGTGGATTTGAACATCTGGAAATGGCCACAACCTTTTAGTACAACCTGCTATAAAGCATGCCACAAGAGCTCTGTTATCTAGTGCTACCATAAAATAAATACCACAAGGGAAAGAGTTTAAGAAACAGAATTTTGTGTGCTTTTCTCTTTTGTAGCTTAGCATACTAAAGATTAGAACTCAAGGTGCTTTCTCTAGGTGAAGATTTCCATTATGAGTTGATTCTGAAAGAAAGCCTTTGCATCCTTTCAACATCAGCGGGTCTACGTTCCTTGAATATTTCCATATGACTTAGCTTTCCTCTGTGATGAGGAAGTTCCCAGAGAAGGAATCTGAGTCTAAAAAAAATCTACCCTCAACTCTTTATCCTTTATCATTCTGACGTCACTCAGTAAAATAGAAAGAAACTCTGCCTAGTCCTACATTGTCCCCATAATCAATTAAGGATTAATTTCATTGGCTGATTTTCAAAAGAAAATGAACAGATCTTTCTTCCTACTTCATCTTAGCCTGGAAGCTCTTCTAAAACTTGTCCAACATCATTATAAAAAAACAAACAAAAAAAACCCCCCACCAAACCCCAAACACACCTTAGTGTCTTGGTGTCAAAACCAATTCACAGTTGACCCTCCATGAAGTTTCTAAGACTATAAATTACATGAGATTGTCCATCTTTCTCCCAAGTAGCTATTGGTAGATTCAAGCCACCAGAGAGGTGTGGCCTTTGGGTTAGCAATGTAACTCCCTAAGATCTACTTCACTACATCTCCACTGCCAGAAACATGATAACGGTGTGTGAGGTGGATTCACATTAGAATTGATCCTCTGACTCCTGCATGGAAGATGAACATTCCATCACTGCATAACAACTGTGCCTGTCTATTGTTGTTAGGTGCCACCAAGTTGCCTGCACCTCATAGTGACCCTATGTACAACAGCTCTGAAGCCTGCTCTGTCCTGAGACAGTCTCACCCAGGGTCTTCGTCTCTTGCTCTGTTCCTTCACACTTTTGAGCATAATGTCCTTCTCCAAAGATCAGTTCCTACTGGTCATGTGTCCAAAGTATGTGAGATAGAGCTTCAGAATCCTAGCTTCCAAGGAGAAACTTGGTTTTTCACCTTTCCCAGGACAGATCTGTTTGTTTCCTTGGCAGTCTATGACTCTTGATGGTTCAAAACTCTTCTCCAGCACCACAACTCAAAGGCATCAATTTGTCTTCTGTCATCCTTAGTCATTGTCTAGCTGGTATAATAGGTATGACAAGGAAGGCAAGACTGAATTCTGTCATACACAAAAATGATAATTAACAGATGGATCCACATGAATGCTGGTCCAGTAGTGTTAGGCCAGTGAAGTCCTAGCTCACTGATATGTAAGGCCTTCTGGCAGTAGCTTTCCTGAAATGCTCACCCACGGAAGATGTGACAAAACTTATATTGCAAGATTTAGCTAACTGTCCAATTGGATCTAAGTACAATATCCTCTGTAAGTGGCTCAATATCTATCTGTAGAATTCTAAGGCTTGAGGATCATTCCCAAGAGTATAAAGACTTCTGAACTTTCTAGATTATTGAAGTCACTTCTATTAAGAGCCATGGTGTTATAATTTCTATTATATAAAGCTGTTAACTGGAAAGTTGGTTGTTCAAATCCACATAAAGATTTAGAGACTTGGAAACTCAATACAAGGTCACTATGAGTCACAATTGACTAAGCAGCAGTGGACTTGGTTTTAGTTTGACCTTAACAGTATTTCTGGCCAATCTCTACATCCTACAAAACTAATTTCATCAACTTGAAAAATCACCATTAGTATCATTATATTATTCTAGTATAAGAAATCTACAGTAACCAAGTGAGAAAGAAATTGTGTTGCTAAGCAAAACAGGTAGTTTAGATCCACCTGTTTCTGTGCAGGAGAAAGATGGGCAATCTCCTCCTGTGTAATTTACAGGCTCTGAAAACTTGCTAGAGGGTCAGCTATGAGTCAGTTCCAATAGCAATGAGAGAGCAATACTAATATAAGCCCATCCATCTATCAAGTTGTATTGCAGCTGCCTGCATGTTGCTATGATGCGGAAAGCAATGCACAAATATCTCAAATATTAGCAAAGTCATGATAGATGGGAGCTTACAGACTCTTAGAGACTAGGAAGAAAGAAATGATGATCTAACTAAAAAAACTTGTGTTGTTGATTTTTGTCTAATTGGGAATGACTTGTAGCGACCCTATGAACAAAAGGCCTGAAGCCTTTCTATAATTATCATAATTTCTCCAAGTTCCTAGAGTTTCCAGAGGCATGTGGTTAAGGAAGTGGATGCCACTCCTGCTTCCAAACCTGTCTTAAACCTACCTGTCCACCAAACACTGTCCATCATGGGAAACCATTATGGCATTTGGCATAAGGTTCAGCATCATAGGCGACTCAACCAATAACATTCTCTGACAGGTTTGGAAGCAGAAGTGGCATCCACTTCTGAAACAACTTGCCTCCAGAAATCCTATGAAACCTTTCTATAACGTTGTTTCTTTTTCCAATTTCATAGAGTTTCCAGATGCATGTGGTTTAGGAAGTGGATGCCACTCCTGCTTCTAAACCTGAATCAATCTGGGAGTTCCACCGAACACTGCCCACGATGGGTGGTAATTATAGTGTTCGACACAGCTATGGCACAATTGTTCCATTATGACATTTGAGACCCCAGTGGCATAAGGTTCAGTGTCACAGCAAACCCAGATTACCTCAGCACAGCAAATTGACAAAAGTGCTGTACAACTTAGAAGAATGTTCCTCCGAAACTCAAAAACCTAGCCAATGAAAATCCTATAAATCACAAATTTAAAATATAAAACAAAAATGTTGTCTGGCTCAGTTGCATCATCAAGCGGGATAAAAAACCCGTAGGAAAACATTATATTTGATGAAGTTGAAGCTAGGGAGAGCCTGTGAGACTTTTGTAAAGATGAATTAACAAAATAACTTCCAGATGGACTTAGATATGCTGGTGATGGGGAGGATCATGCAGGCCTGGGCAATGTCTTGCTCTGTAACATTCTAGAAAATATCTTGATTTAAAAATTGGCTCATGTTTGAAGTACTTTAATCCACGGCAGATTGCCAAGCGTTGGAGCCAATTCAATATCAGTTACCTACCTAGCTATTCTTTTTCTATCTATCTTAACTTAAAGTTTTTCTGGTATGGAACAGACATATGAACAGAAGGAGGCTGCAGAAACAAGTCTTCATTTCTGCTAGAAACAATAAAAGACCTAAATAAGTGGGAAAAAATGTTCTCTCTTCATGGATAGAAAGACTCAATGCAGTGAAAATGACAATCTTACCCAAAAACCTACATGTTTAATGCAATCCCAACACAGATATCAAGTTCATTTTTCAAAAAGATAGACAAGGCAATTGGCAAATTTATCTGGAAAGAAAAAAGACCCTTGATTAAACAAAGCACTTCTGGGGGGGGGGGAGAAGAAGTGGGAGGCATAGCACTCCCTGATATTAAAACTTATCCAACAGCTATAATAACCAAAATAGTGCAATACTGGTACAATGGCAAACACAAAGACCAATGGAACAGTCAAGAACCCATAAATTAACCCATCTATTTATGGTCAACTGATACTTTACAAGGAAACAAAATCTATCAAATGGGAAACAACAACCTCTTCGATTAACGGTGCTGGCAATTCTGAAGCAGAATC